ATTTAGAAACAAGTGAGTTTAACAAATATATATTTCGGAAATTATTCGGCTGATTTGTTATATAAAAACTGGCAATGATTGAATCACAAACTGATAAATATCGATAGAGCTCGTTCGGATTTCCGTCGAATTCAGGCACGCAATGCAAATATTCCGGCTTGAATTCGGCCATATCTTCCGAATTTTCTAAATTTGTTTCACTATTTGTTAAGTTAGGAAGCGAAAAATTATTATTTTGTGAATCTATATTTTCAATTAAATTAACTTGAGAGTTATCAGAGTCAGTTAAAGTGTTGTCGATATTTAAGTTTTCTAAAGAATTCAATAGTGATTCGATAGACATAAATAAAAGTTACTCACATTAAAATAAAACTGATTTTGAGCATATCCCTGCCTATAACTATAAGGAATCGAATTTTCTTCCAAAATTCGTTAGCCTTGCAGAACTGGACGATTTTGTTCCAATCCTCGTTGCTATTCGACTTGGGGTTCTTCAATGGGTCTTCGATAGACCGGGTTTCTCGATGTCTTGAGAGCCACTCCACATCCAACACCTTCACTTGCGAATCACAACAGTTTTATTGTTCGATATCTGGTTAATCGTAGAGACGAAAATCGAGCACGTTCGATACGCGACAATTCCAGATATCCTACTGACTGCGCCAAAAATAAACTTTCAAATTGAAAATAGCTTTTTAAAAAATTTAATTATTTTTTCTATGTTAAAATTCTACAACTACGATCTGTACTACAAGAAATATAAATGTATAATGATGTTAAAAATGAGAAAACTAGATAAAATGCATAAAGTCCTAATCAGCGGTTTCCTAGAAACTGGTAACTCTGATAACGCCGACATCTGCAGGATCTGTTACTAGGGCTGATGTAATTAGCTGTTCTTTTTGCAATTCTATAATTTATTAAAATTAAAATCTTTTTACAGCAGTATCAAGAAATTCTATAAGTCCACACATTGGTAGTTGACAGTAAAAATATTTAGGTTTAAGGCTGCTGCAACAACCTAATTAAACAGACAAAAAATAAATTTCCTATTTCTATACATTTATATAATTTTTAACTTAAATAATTGAAGGTAATAGTGATTCATCATTATCACGCTATCGTTCAAAATGTTGTATTAACGAAGCTGGCTGTAAGGTTCTAACAACGACTATTAAGTTTTTTTTTGCATTTTGTATGTAGAAATAAAAGACAATAATCAGCTTTTACTCACACTTTGTTTTGAAAATCAACTTGTAAACATATCCTAAAACCTAAATCAGTAAACATTTTTAAAAAGCTATTGGTAACATAGCAACAAGGTACACCGATTGCCGTAATGACATTTCGTCTCTATAAATACAAGTATCATGGGTGTACAGAATGTCAAAATGATTAATTTAAAGTATGGATTCTTGAGTTCTAAACATGTAATAATATTGTAACATTATCAAGAATAAGACATATCTGAGCTAATTAATTGAAATAATTCTAAAATTATCAAAATAATGATTACATTTTTACTTTTTTTAGTAATATGACTACGTTCATGAATATTCCTGACATTTTCGGATTATTAGCTTAGTTAGGGGCCATTTTAATTAGTTGGTAGTATTATGACGAAAGACTAACGTCACTGATAGCTGAAGAGGCTAGCCGCGAGCTTAGTGTGCATCCACATACTCGCAACAGTTAAGCAGGGATCTCTCTGGTCACGTCGTTGATACGTGACCATTGGGAGGTTCCGTGGGCTGTGTCACGATGGGACTCCTCCGACTAGCGGTTAACCATCGACAACGTGGAATGACTGACGATGAATGAGGAAGTGAATTGGCGAATGGAAAAGTAGTAGGACCCTCGAATGGTGGTACAATAAGCCACAGGCTGCAGAGCCGCCAAACTATAGACGGATTGAGGTGTAACACGGGAGGTCCGAAGGGTGTAAAACAAAAATAAAAACAAAAAACTGTCACTGATGACGTGCTACTGGATTTGTATGTTTTGTTTTCCATGAGTACTTAATAATATTTGTTTACCGTCCCAATATTTAATTGTTAATATCATTACGAAAAATAAATTATAGAATGGAACAAAAATAAAATTCTGATAATCGGTGGCTGTTAATAGATGTAGAAAAACATATTTTCAAATTTAAAATATATTTAAAATACTGTTATGTGAATCATTTTTGACCAGTCCGGTCATGCTCTAATCCTTTAACTCTCTCTGCTTTATTTGGCCCTTTTACGTCACCTACGAAATCCCTCCTTTATCTACATGTTTCGTTATCGCCAGTCTACTACTGGCGATTTGATCATTGGAGATCCCCGAGCGGTGCAAAAGTGTTTGAATTGACACTCCGAGCGATCCCAAAAGTGTTTGATTTGTTTTGGAGCGAGAACATAGAGCGAGCTCCATGTTCTCAGAGCATAAGGATCGACAAAAGGGGGACATTTGTCTTTGTCTCTTCCTATCTCTTTTTAATTAATCTACAAACAAACTTGAATCTCATAATTCAAGACCAGACAAGAAGTCAACAAATTACTTAGCCTCTTTTGTCTTATAGCCAAAATATTTATCATAAAAAAAATGTGTTTGGAAAATACATTTTCTCTGCTCAGATCTAATCACCAGTAATCAAAATTATGGAGCTTGAAATCGAAGCGGGCATTTATGGTATATGTTGCATTTCAGGGCCATTGCTCCTTATTATTAAAACCTCTTCCATTTTTTCACTTTTTGTTCACTGTTTTGACACAAAAACCAGAAACAAGAATTACAAAAAAAGCGAGGTTATGTTTTTTATTTGATTTGATTCAGTGCTCTATTGTGAAGTCATGACTTCTCAGTCTCCTCGATGTTCGCTCGATCGAGTTTCAAATCAAGGGACCTTTATAAGAAAATACCAGATAGGTCTGGTGTAATTGTCCATTCTTAGAGGAAAGGCGTCAAGACAGATCTGGAGCATAACATTTGGGCACGATACACAAATACCGGTATGCTACTAATTTGACCGCATTTCGCACTTTCTCCGCATGACGTAAGAATTTTTTTTTTAATACAGTTTTATTTCTAATATTAAAGATATAATGATACGAAATAATGATACGCGTTAATTTTTGGAATTTTAAATAAGGTTATTAATATTCAATGCCAATGGTCATGTAAAATGCAGATTCGACTGCATAAACATAAATTTCATGTACATAAATTATGACTAGATGTTTTTTTGCAGCTAGTATTTGTTCTGTACACTTCAAAGTCTCCTGTTTCGAAGTGCTTCTGCAACAGAGATTGTTGGGATATACAGGGTGTCCCGAAATTAGACGGTCATATTTTAACAGCGTAATCTACATCCTAAAATAGGAATAAAAGTTCATATAAACATAGGTCTGAAAACGTTTCGTTTTTGAGATACAGGGTGTAACAAGTGAAGACCTGATGGCACATTTTTGTAAATATTTTTCATCGGTTTTCCAAAGTAAAAAAAAATAAAATTTCTAATTTCACAGGCCTACTAATTATTGTTTACACTTTTAAATAACTTATCATTAAATTTTCAAATGCTTTTTTCTTGAAAATGATGCGTCCTAGCGAGATGCAACAAAAGTAGCTTTATTATAAAGAAAACATTGGTTTTCCAAATTTTATAGTCAAAAATGTTAAAAACTGTCAACAAAAAAAAGTAAAAAGAGTAATTTTACCCTAAGCCCCCCCCTAATTTACCCACCTATGAAAATGATCAAAAACTAGGGTTTAGTCCGTTAAATGGAGCGTAAAAAGGTAAGCATTTGTACCAAATTTCATTTAGTTATCTTTAAATGTTTAGAAAATATTTATAAAAGAGTCATCAAGACTTCACTTTTAACACCCTGTATCTCTGAAAAGAAACGTTTTCGGACCTATGTTTATATAAACTTTTACTCCTATTTTAGGATGTAGATTATGCTGTTAAAATATGACCGTCTAATTTCGGGACACCCTGTATATCCATAAATAGCCAACATTTGAAACCTGGTGTTGTGTCCACACTATTCCCAAATTTCCTGGGGCAATCCAGAAAAGGCAATGTAAAGATCGTAATCTGCGATAGGCTAAAAGAAGACAATGGAATAAATCAATTGGAATTTTAAAAGCCATTGAAGCAGTTAGTGATTCTGAACAAGAGCTTACCTACACAGAGCCTTGTCCCGAAGACCCCAAAAAAACTAGTACTTGGATTATGACATAAGTGTTTGCACTTTTACAAAAAAAATTATCCTCCGAAATATTTTGAGATATAGTCGCTAACAGCTCTTAATCAGACACCATATGCCGTGGTTTTACTCGAATATTGTTCGTTCAAATTGTGCATTATTTTGTTTGACGTTCTTTGTTATGAACTTATGTAAGGTACATTTCTTTAAAATAAAGTGTCTTTGCGTGTACTTTATTATATATCTTATTCTTGTTTTACTTGCAATCATAAATTAACTAAATGTTCATATTTGTGCTTATACAATAACTTTTCTACTTTTACTTCACACAAACCACAACCTTTAACAATGAAGTAATGTTACAGTTTTTTATTATCGAAAAGTCTCATTACTTGTATTTATCTATGTAGAAAGCGTCAGATTTTTATGCCACGTGACGTCATATCATGTGACAAGGATTTAGCTAATATGCGCAGGAACATACCGGTATTTGTGTATCCTGACATTTGGGCATATAAATATGACGGTTCTGCCATTCGAGTCAGTTTTAAGTTAGATATTTTTAATATAAATCATATCTAATTTATTATATAAGTAAATGTGATATAAATTAGTATGTTAGTACTGACTATAAATAAATTAAATCATAAAATAAATAAATTAAATAAATAAACGTTACAATATAGTTGTTTGGGCTCGTATTACCTATTATTTCCCGATCATACTATAAAGCATACGGCATTTTAACTCAGTCTCCCTTATTATTACTATTACAACCTGGATAATCTTTAAAATCTTTTTCAGAAATAGAAAAAAATGACACTTCTGAGAGTTCCAGTAGCATAGGAAAATCGTCGTCGGACAAGACGGATCCGCCCTACGAGCAGCTAAACAACGACACAGATTCCGAGGTTCCCGGATACGAGAAAATTGGAAAAAAGATATTGGCTGCTAAAAATTCCACGAACAGTTCCGATCTAACCAATTCCGCGAATATCCTCGACGAAGATGGTATCGTACAGGTTTGATTGGGGCGTATTTAAGAATGATCGTTCGGCCTAAGTTTATACAAGGTGTCCTCTAAAGCGACGTGTAGCTTTTTGAAGTGATTATATAGCTCAAATACGATTTTTCTTTATTTTATGATCATATTTTGGAAAAATTCGAGATCCACCCGAACACAGTAATGACGGCAAAAATGCAAAATTATTAGCTACTGTGAAGATAGTTATTTGAAAAAGTAAAAAGATTTCTTAAATTTCTAAAATAGAAAATATATTATAAATTTATTGAATTTCTAATTTATTGTTACCAAATGAAAGCTAATATTTTTTTTTATTTACTAAACTTAACAACGTTGTCTGAACGATAAAATAGAGCTATCACATTACTATATAAATAATCAAAATTACTAAACATCATCCAAGATGCATGTTTGCCAAATCATAAAATAGTTTGTCAGAACTTTTTCGTTTTGAATTGTACAAGGTAATGTTTACTCTTTAGTTGAGCTGCTATTGAATCGTTTGAACTATTAATACTGCATAAATTAGTAGTGATGGGTCGCTTTGAAAAGTCCACGGACAGGTCCGACGGATTAGTCTGAAAAGTTGACTGGTCCAAACACACTTTTTAAATGTAGAAAAGTGCATTGCGCATGCGCGAATTTAAATTAACTAATTCGTCTGAATTTCTTACAAGGGCAAAATTTAGTTTAAAAAGAAGAAACAATAAATGAATCGGTCATTTGAGAAACACCATAAGTCAGAAAAGTAAAAGTTTGGGAAATTAAAAAAACCTTTCTTAATTCGTCTGTGTGTGAGACAAAGCATTGATTTATTTTCTAAAATCGCGAGATTAGTTTACTATTTGATAGTATCAAAACAACTTGTGCTTTTTTTCTAAAGAGTCCAAAATATTTTTTTGAAAATCATGACTCATATGGTTTCTCAAATATACGGATATTATTTTAATTTATGTAGACAATAAAACTACATATTTTAATAAAATAATATGTTTATTTAACAATATTTTTATTTAATTTAAAATTTCATCAAAAACCTTATCTTTATCAATAGTTGGCCAGTTATAAAATTAAAGTTCGTCTTCTCATTCCGGAAGATACTGCTTTAATTTGACAAGATCATTTATCTGTTAAAGGTATTTTTCCAACATAAGCCTTTTTGACAGGAAGAGTCAAAAAAATGTTTAAAATGCACATAATGACTTTTTTTAAGCGATATCTTTTTATCTTGTGATACTGCTTGTTGAACTATATTCAACATTGCGCTAAGCTTTCATTCTCAATTATTTATTATTCCTAAAGACGTCTCTGCAAGCCGCAATGCCTTTTACACCTGGAGACGTCTTTGCGGCACGGCCTTGACCGGTAAGAACGGTCTTCCGTCTAATAGCTACGTCACAGTCGTCATTCACTTCTTGTCCATTTCTCATTGGTTAAAAACACCGGCGTTAGGCACTTCCTAATTGGTCAACGTCAAGCGTCACTCTCAATCTAGCTGAACAACTTCTCTCCCGGCAGAGCTTCAGTATCTCTCAAACACAACACATCGTTGTGCGGTGTACAATATGGCTTGAGTGCTTAAGTAACAAATTTCCGAAGAAAAGTGTAGTGTAAAAGTATGTAGTTTGTAAATGAACCATGTAATAAAATTAACATAGGTTCAATAGTGTCTTAAAATAAATTATGTAATTAGAACGTGATGTTTTCACCTAAGCACTAATCCTTCCATACATACGGATCGCACAGGTATTTCCAACATAATTTCGGTCAATCTGCGATAGCTGTCAGCGACTTAAGATGAGGTTTCTCAAGTAAAGCAGATTTTGACGTTTGAAAATTTAATACAAGGAGTGCTATGAGTAATGGGATTTCTCGTTGGAATGTGCACCGAAGCAATATGGATATGCCATTTTTGGAATATGTCAAATTTGTGACTTATAGGCTTTCTCAAATGACCGACTCAAATGTTTACTGACTTTTATAATGTTTTAATGTTTTCGAATTTTCGTTACATATGTTATTAAAATAAACTCGTGAAAAATTACCAAAAAATTCAAAGGTTGGATGCATTGTACAAATGATTTGCCTAAAAAAGAAAACAAAAATACAAATGCAAATATTGTTCCCCAAGTGTTTTTGAAAAAACATCCAGGATGGAGATTTAACCGTGTGTCTTCTACGCCCAAGGTCGACTACTTTTCATTACTTTTCCGGACATGTCCGACGGACTAGTCCAAAAATTACTTTTCATGAAAAGTCCCATCTCTATAAATTAGTACGCTAGCGTTATCTATGATGCCCATTTGAAAGAATTATGGTGTTAAACACAGCCTTAAGAGATACGAAATTTTGCACAAACCTTCTAGACCAGCGATACTCAACCTTTTTTCCTTCGGGCCACATTCCTATATGTTCTATGTTAGACGGGCCGCAATATTTTTGGATGATGACCTTTTTTAGGACATCTATCTAAAATTAGTTAGTGGGTACCTCTAATAAATAAAACATAAATATATCCCGTTGTGTTACTGCAAAAACAAGATAACTCACATTTTTAGAGTTTCGATAAAACACTATTCAAATGTTTAAAACTGAATAAAAAATCAGTAAAAGCTTCAAACCGTTTATTAACTTCAATGAAGAAGGTATTGAAAACATTGTTCATAAAGTATAAACTAATAATCTATCAATAATTGGTAAAAAGAGAAAAAACGTCACTAAACTTATTTGAGCCCTACATATAAAACATAATTCAATGTATGTGTCACTATCTTCAGTCGAAGTTTCAGTAACATTATTGGATACAAGTAGATTGTGATAATAATGGTGAAATTTATCAGGTGTATCTGATTTTGCAAAATTTTAGTAAATCTTTCTTCTTGCACTTTTTTGTAAGTATTTTCAAAACTTTGTTTCATCCTTTCATGCATCCCTCTGAATAAATACTGTGCGAGTTTGGCATATAAAGCCGAATTCCCCACCCTCGCCCATTGATAAATTAAATCTATTTTTTTGGTGGAATGTATTTAGGATAGCTGAACCTTTCGATACGTTGTCTATTAGAAAGTATGGTTAAAATTCATATTCGCCTGTTACCACTAATACTTTTATTCACGAATTTTCACATAAAGATTCGCTCGTTGCGGCTTGACGAATCACTCGTTACAGCTTGACCAATCACTCGTTACAGCTTGACCAATCACTCGTTCACCACGGAGATTCGAACATCTCGTGATATTATCTGGTGGTTGTTTAAGGTTAGCTGTATCTCGGAAAGAAAGGGTGACGTAATCATCTCGTGAATTTCGGAACAATCGAGAAAGGCCAGAGACGGTTCTAGTCATAACAAAACAAATGGCGTGGGCACAATGTAATATTTTAACAAACACATTCAACAAAAATAAGTAGCGGCAAACCACTCCCGAAATACTGGTACGTTTTCACTGGAAATCACTACACATTTTCTCGAAAATTCCAAAATTATCATCTAAAATCATGGTCGAAATCAATTCGTCGCTCACAACCCGAAATGGCGAGAAAAAAAGATCATTGTATAAAATTAAGGTGGATTTTCAGTAAAATCACCTAAATTGCACAAAAAATTTTTAAGTGATTTCCGAAATACAGGTACGTTTTGACCTTATTGGTTTCCCCTTGGTTCTGGCCTTTATCTTGATTTGGCCAGAACACAATTTTTTTTTTTTTTGGTGTCATCGGCGTCGACTACTACGGCCATTAGCCGCGTGTTCTGTGTAGGCTTTGTTACTGTTTCCCAGCGCCACTTTAGGAACAGCACTGTTAATTAGAACCCAACAGTGAATGGTCGAGTGGGGAATCCTACCAAGGCAACAGAATTAATTTTAAATAATTAAATTAAATGAAAAAATTCGATCCTGAGACCTTCCGATCTCAATGTCATGACTCTAACCACTGATCCAACCCACCCAGAACACTATTAAGAATCGAAATAAATATATTTAGCAAAAATAAGTTATATGTCTATTATCTGATTTTGGTAGACACATTTATCAATTGAACACAATGTTATGATTATGTTTGTTAGTTTTTATTGGCTATCTGTTTATCATGAATATAGACTTCTTTCACACTTCTAGAAAGTGTACCTACTTAACTCGAAAATTCTAAAAGTGGAGCTATCTTGTTTTTACAGTAACCCCACAAAATTCCAAAAAAATAGCATGCCATTTAGTGCTGCGGGCCACAAAAAAAGCTTGGAGGGCCGCAGGTTGAGTATGGCTGTTCTAGACGGTCTAAAAAACTTTTCAAGAAAAGTAATTTTTGGGCTAGTTCGACGGACATGTCCAGAAAAGTAGTGAAAAGTGGTGGACCTTGGGCATAAAAGTTAATGTTTATCTATCCTGGACGTTTTTTCAAAAACACTTTGGGAACAATATTTGCATTTGTGAAATACTTCCAAACTTTAAATTTTTTAGTAATTTTTTCAAATTTTTATTTTAATAAGATATTGTTATGCACTTTTTTGGTATCTCAATTTATTTCAACTCAACTTTTACAATAACTATAAAACTGATAACATTAACGTATAACGTCTATCATCAAACTGAAAACTTTGACGTCGGGATCGTCGACTTGTATAGCTCGCCTTAACCTTCTAGAACCTTCTTGAACAATCCGGATTTTTCTTGAAAAGGAAATGACATTTCTGGACTATTCTATCTTCTTTTTGCACTCGTACTTTTACTTATTACGGCCACAGCACACTGTAGTGTGATGGGTGACATTGAACTTCTTTTTGTATTTGTACGTTTCCTATAACGGCCGCAGTCTGCCCAATTTTACGTTTTTTATAGTGGGAACAGCATGCCTCGAGGCTCACACAAGGGCCCTGTTAACACTACTATTTCCACTTGATTAATATTTACTTAAATGGGTTTAGCTTACGCTGTATGCCCAATGTTACGTATTTTTCCTTAGTGAGAAAAGCATTAATGAAGTCACACCTGGACTTTCAAACCACAAATCGCCATTCACTTCTACTAATAGTGGATTTTATTTGTTGCACTAGGTGTAAGTTTTCTGTACTAATCGCATTTGATTTGTTCAGTGTAGCTTCAAATATCTGACTGGCGCACACGTGTAGCATATACTTTTGACAAGAATGACAGTTCGAATACAGTGTCGAATGTGACACTAGTGCAACAAATACAATCCACTATAGAATATGTATTTGAAACTTCGGCACAGAATGCACTAAATTATTTAATAAGAATTTAAAAGTCAGATGGTAACTTTAAAACTTGATATTTTGTTGAAAACTGGACTCCCGATTCTGAGACCACCATTTCGATGTTGACACGTCGGTGTCAGAATCGTTAAAATATATAATTTTTAAACGGTATTTTGTCTGTTTGTTAGAAATTCAGCCAAATGATTTAATTTAATTTAATTTCGCGCAAGCGCAAAACACTTTTGTAAACTTGGGTTTGGACAAATCAACTTTTCAGACTTGTCCGTTGGACATGTCAGTGGACTCTTCTAGGCGCCACATCACTAAAAAAAAAACGCTGCCTATTATTTTTATTCACAGGAAACAGACATAAATTACTTTTTCCCTTATAAAAACCCAAATTTCACACTAACAGATGTATTTTAATTAATTTTGATTGATTTTTTGTAATAGAAATGTGAGGTTGATCTTAAGGATGGGGTATCTGGACGAATTTACGTCAAATTAGATTCTATCCAAGAGATGCAGGTATATAGAATTTGTAGCAAATAATTACAGAAATCTTTAATTTTTTATCAACTTAACACCGAGGTATTGGTGCCAAGAGGTTTGTGGTGAAGTACATGAAATAGACCCAGGTTCTGATACATATAATTAAATTTTTCGTCGCTAGCCTGGAATTTTGATAATTTTAACATCAATTTCATCCATCGCCTGACACATGCTAATCGTACTGTTGTTTAGTAACAAACATCTTAAATTTGTAGGATTAGGCAGGTATATACATAATTTATTACTGTAGTATAACAATTTTTATTTTAGGGTGACTCACCTGCGAAATATAGGTTATTGCCGGCCGACCACAATGCAACTCACAGGTGAGTCACCCTCGAATAAAAATTGTTACACTATAGTGGTTAACTTTTATTGAAAAATTGCCCACAGCTTCTTGCACTAAATGTATAAATTTCTCCCACTCCTTTGAGTTCTTCCTTAAAAGAATCAATAATAGGTAATATGTTGCATTCTATCTTTGCTTTTGTTTTTATTATTACTATGCACTAAAATTTAATCATGATATGAGCACATATAATATACATATTTTTTTATTTAAAATATTCATTTATTTTATACAAATATTAAAAAATATGCTAAATGCATAATAGAAGAATGCTTTGAAATACAAATAAAGAAAACGTATAATACATTAATTATATCTAAATCGTAGAGATTATTCAACTGCTCAAATGTGGCAATTTAACGAAAATAAAAATCCTCAAAGTCAGTACCACTCAAAAATATTTTATTGAAAACTTAATGCTAACACAGGCTACTCGTTTCGACTCAAAAGCCGTCCTTAGGCCTTTTGAGCATTTTTACTTTTTTCTAGATGGCGTATTTCAAATTTTGATTTTCATTTGGTAACATATACATGTAGCGCAGTGATACAGACGTGAAGGTATTTAGTTTATTTATTTTTTAAAGAAAATTTGTCATGATTTTATGGTAGATACAGTGGCGGTAAAGGAGCTCAAACTAAAAGCGGTAAAAACGACAGAGGTTCGACTCTCGTGGTCGCCACGAACTTTTTACCTTTTTTTTTTGTTAAAAATACATAAAAATCATGTTTGAAGTCTGCTAACAAGTAAAATTATGACCGAGACACAGTGGGACGTTAGGACGTTTTACCTATTTTTTTTGCCAAAATATCAGATTCGTTTTCATGAGATGAACGTCTGTATTTTGGGATTTTTATTTTCGCTGATTTTGAATATGACACTAAAAATAAAAAATATAAAATGGCGGATCCAATAATGCACCCTTCTATTGTAACGCGACTGTTACAATCTTATCGTACACTCTCAGTCATCATTCGTTTCCTAAAATGATTTAAGCCAGTTTACACCTTAAGATAGCACTTAACGAGGCGTTTTAGCCGCTAATTTTGGCGAATTTTTAAAAATCATTAACAAGACATTAAGAGCTTAAATTCATGGATTATATTAAAAATAGTGCTGTTGAGAAATGCATTTATTTTCATCATGATATTTCAAAATTTAAAGCCCTTTGATTTTTTTTCTCAGAAACTGAAAGGAATTAAAACTTTAAAAAATATGCATATTCTAGATATTATTGCCTAATTTATTTTGCCAAAATTTAAATATTAAAAAAAAATGACTTTTTGAGATATCCCTGTGCGAAAATTACAAGGGTGTGCTGTAATCACCTTAACGTTTTTAAAAATAAGTTAGACGAGTGTTTGTTTAACATTATTATTTAATTTTTATTGTTCTCATCTTTTTGTTTCAGTGTGCTTACTTTGTTCCAATTTTTTCATTTTGTTTTTAGGCTATCATAGGACTTATGTCCTCAGCCTTTATCAATGTATAATAATAAATGCATAGGTAGGATTCCCCACTCGACCATTCACTGTTGGGTTCTAATTAACAGTGCTGTTCCTAAAGTGGCGCTGGGAAACAGTAGCAAAGCCTACACAGAACACGAGGCTAATGGCCATAGTAGTCGACGCCGAAAACACCAAATTAAAAAAATAAATAATATAGTGAGTGCAGATTATGTGAGGAGGAGGATGAAACCTCCATTCACATTCTAACTGAATGTGTAGTACTGCAGAATCCAAGGGCACTATACCTAGGAGCATATCAAATAGAAGAGGGAGATTTACCTAACTTGAAGCCACTCCAAATCCTACACTTCCTTGAGAAGAGAGGATTGGAAAAGACATTTCGTTGCTGCATTAGCGACAGAAGGGGACACAATAGATCTTTTAGGTCGCAGGGTATTAACACCCCATTTCCAACATAACATACATAAATATCAAAGTGATTTTGGTGTTTTTTTTTTATTTTTTATTTTTTTCATTTTCGACCATTTTTCAAAATTCCTACTGTACACTGTGACATGCTTCAAACTCCACCTGCTGTGAAGGAGGAAGTCATGTTTGGCGTGAGATGGTGAAATCAGAACAAGGGTTGCTCAGGCGCCAGTTTTGCTAACGCAGTTTGATCTGCGACTCTGTAGTACACCAGAGTACTCTTAAGTAGACTCAGTGGAGTTAAAATACCTCTAGGCGATCACCGCTAATGAGGTAGCCACTAAAATACAATAAATGAAACTACACTACCTCACATCTTGTACCCTATGGTACCCTGGACTAAAAAGGTTGAGAGCCGGTAATGAAAGAAAAGAAAGACAGGAATTATTAATAAAATATATTTTAAAATCAAATAAGAACACTATAAAAAAACCTCGGGATACTGTAATCAGTACCACCGGCACTCCCTGTACAATGGAAAACGAATGTACAGTTAAATTAATAGTTTAATTAAATAAATCAAACGGTAATAACGGCATAATAGGAAATTAATTTTCAACTAATCAACTGTTTAAACACACAAGTTTAAATAAATTAAATCGAGGTGATGCGATATTCGGAAATTTAAAGAAATTTTAAATTGTTATCAAATTATAAATGATTTTTTGAAAATTTTGGAGGAAGAGCCATCTAAATTTCATTTGTTTATACAAGGTATATTTTTTTCAATGACATTGGATAACTAGATCAGTTATAATTTCTTTTTGAAAATCCTACAAATTTATACATATATAATATGATCATCCACAAATATAAAATCAAACTTATTAAAGAAGGTAATCAATGGTTGTGGGTACTGGATAAACTAGCTAAATAATAATAGTCTTCCTAAAAGTGTATTTATAACTGGAAGAGATGAAGTGAAAACTGTACTTTGTATTATGTTTTAGGTATTATCAACAAACTTGGATGTAATTTAGATTACTAAATAATAAACTATTTGAAAATATTTTTTTGGGCATAGTCCACAATCTATAAAAATAATTTAGCAGAAAGTGACTTTCGTGAGCAGAAAGTACATATTATCATCTACTCGTAATCAAACATATATTCAGTTAACGAATGTGTCAATTAGTGCACTATCTTTGTTAGAGTATGATGAACTAACTCATGGAATATAAATTGGTTTAACAGCTATTTTTTTTATCAAAAATAGAAATTTTAAGCATTTTGACGTGGCAGTCCAAAAAAATGACTGAATTCGGAAAATATTGCAGTATTTTATATCGTAAAGGAACTTAGGTCGCCTTACTATTTTTTGTTATAATAAATTTATCAATTTCCAGTAGTAAGAGGACCTCACTTGGACATTTATCTTTAATTTGGCCGAACATTAGATTTTTTAATACTATATATTCGGAAAGCAGCCGATTTAAATTGTTGGTCTATACATACGGTTTTTATACACAGGAATACCCCATCCCTAGATCTTTAAGGTAGGAATATGAACCTGATCTTTTATTTAATAATTATTATTTTCTAAAAGGACAGCCAATTTTTCTTCTAATTTTTTCCAAAATTAGATTAATGAGATTTTTGATGTAAGCTCCTCGATGCCCCATACTTGGAGGACACTTTGTATATAATGTAATTACGTAATGACTTGATATACACCTAAAAATTATTCACAATTTTTTTGTTTGTTTACCAAATGGCACAAAATGAGTGATTCCAGTGTGGATGTGATTAATTATTTTTAAAAAATGGAGAGAGGCTTGGATAGATATAGGCTGGGTCAAAATAAAGAGCGATTTTAAAAGAGTTTTGATAATGGTTAGAGAAAGTAGACTCACTTGCTCATAAGATTGACAACGTATACGTGATACTGAAGAGATCCACCGCTCCATTGCTACTGAACAATATTGCTAATAAGCTTTTCCTAGATTTTTAATTGGCAGATAACAGATTATCTGAAAACACGAAATTCTCCTTTCATAACAACTAGCTTTTTTTTGTAGATTCGTTCCAGTTCCAGAATGTTTTTTGTTAGGTAGTAGATTGATACTAAGTGGAAAGCAAAAAGTCTGCTTCTGCTTCGTCCTAAAAAGGAAAAATCACCAGTTAGCAGTCAACGCCGAGTCGCAGTCGTTTTCGGCAACTCCAGTCCACATAATTGCCTAACTTTATGTTTGACTCAAACCATTAAAAAAAATAAGCAAAAGATTTTATTAAACAAAAATAAAAACATCCTTTTAACATGAACGAACAAAACAAAATTGGTTAAATTGTCTCCTGGGCGCAGCCCATATTTTTTTTGTGTTAAAACAGTTATTTTGTCTTAACTTCTAAATTTTTTAAATTTTGTAAGTATTCGTTAGTGGGTCGTATAAAAAATATACTGTCCAACTTGAGTGGATTGTTCATATTGTACTCAAATGATTGAGTATTCCGCCTATCACGTCGTGCTCGAACTTCATCTGTGATATGGCCATCATACCCACTTTTGTTGCACAAACTACTATTTTCGAATAAATATTTATTAAACAAAAATAAAAACAGAAAAACAATAAAACAAAACAAACAACCTATTTCTTTGATAAAAAAATATATGTATTAACGTTCTTAACATGAAAGAACAAATCAAATCAAAAACAAGTCGTCGATTAATTCAAATAGAGGATAATATTACTAGAATTATCGCTGACCGCTAAAACGAAATATTATATCGTATATAGACATTTAAAGCCGCCACTTTTCAAAATCGCTCTCTAATCTGCCTCATCCTATGTTAACTTTTTGTAAGTATTAAGCAGGGTTTTCCAACGAAAATTTAATATGTCGATTTGTTGACAATACCTTCATTTTTTAACACTGTAAAATAACAATACAGTCTTTAAGATTTATTTTCGTTGGGAAAGCCTCTGCTGCATTTGGAATGATTTTGTTTATTTTGCAACGACTTCACACACGTATTAGTATTTAATACTGTGATACATTTCTTTTTCTTGATTATTTCGGCCTTTACTTGATGAAAATCCATATTGTTAAAATGAGAAAAACCAAACTTGGTATTTTCTATTTATTAAAAAAAATCAATAAGTAGAATAACTATCAATAAATAACGAATAAGTGAGTTGTTAACATTAACATGCCACTAAATCCCCAGTAAGTGATGATTGACAACCAATTATTCCGCCAAGTGATGACGTAGCTGTGTTATTCTTATTGTAATCGGATCCTAGAACTTCTTTAAATTAACTAATTTACATTTCGGTATCTAATATACAGGGTATCCCGAAATTAGACGGTTATATTTTAACAGCGTAATCTACATCCTAAAATAGAAGTAAAAGTTCATATACACGTAGGTCCGAAAATGTTTCGTTTTCGAGATACAAAGTGTTACAAGTGAAGTCCTGATGGCACATTTTTGTAAATATTTTCTAAAATTTTTTTAGTCACCAGTTTTCCAAAATTAAAAAAAAATAAAATTTCTGATACCATAGACCTACTAATTATTGTTTACACTTTCGAATAAGATAACATCAACCTTTCATAAAATTTTCAAATGCTTTCCTCTTGAAAATGGTGCGTCCTAGCGAGACACAACGAAATATAATATTGGTTTTCCAAAATTTGTAGTCAAAAATGTTAAAAACAGTCAACAAAAAAAACTTTAACCCTAAGTCCCTCCCCTAATTTACCCACCTATTAAGATAATCAAAAACTGGCGTTTAGTCCATTAAATAGAGCGTAAAAAGTTCAAAATTTGTACCAAATTTCACTTATCTTTAAAAATTTAGAAAATATTTATAAAAATGTGTCATCAGCATGGGCGTCGTTACTCAATTCTATAGGGGGGGGGGCAAAATTTATAAAAAAATTAGTATATTTATTGGAAAACAAAAAAAAAGAAACATAGAAGAGAATTTTCTTATGATGAATTTAATTATTCTGTGACGTCATGGCTTACTTCCGGTTTTTCCAGAAATAACAGAAAATCGCAATTTATTTTTTATTATTAAATGAAAACCCTTTTTCTTATTGAAAATTTGAATTTCTGGGACATGTTTGTATAAGAAGCGTGTATTGAAAATTTTCTCAGTAACATATTAAAAAAAATATGTTCCAATATGATGATCATTTTGACAGCTGACAAAAAATTTTCAATACATGATTCTTATCCATAAATGTCCCTAAAATTCAAATGTTCAATAAAAACAAGGGTTTCTATTTAAAAATTAAAAATAAATTAAGATTTTGTTTATTTCCGATAAAACAGAAGTAAGGCATGAAGTCACACACCAATTGAATCCAGTATATGAGATTATTTGTCCCAAGCTTTTAAACAAATAAGTTTTCATTCCAATATCTCAATTAACAACGAAGATAAAAGCGGATAGAATTATTAATCGGTTGGCTAATAATAAAAATGCTTAGATACGCCACTGGTATACGGTAAATGGGTCTCAATGGGAATTTTGAAGCCTAAAAAGATTTTATGAAGTATGTACATTCCTATATGTTTTTCCATAAACGAATTAAAAGTAACATATTTAGAAAAAAATATCCAATATGGCAACCATTTTGACAGTTGACAGAAAATTGTCAATACACGATTATTATACAAAAATGTCCCAGAAATTTAAATTTACAATAAAAAAGAGGGTTTCCTTTTAAAAATAAAAGAAAATCTGTTATTTTCGGAAAAATCGGAAGTAAGCCATGACGTCACAGAACAATTGAATCCATCATAAGAGAGTCTTTCAAACAGAACAAAATTAATCCGATATCTCACTGAATAGCGAAGCTAAGGGGGAGTGAAACTGTAGTAGTAACCCTAACAATGTCACCGACCTATTTGACAGAACTGATACTAAAGTTGTCATAACAAGTCTCTAATAAATAAAATAACCCAACAAAAAAAGACAAAATAAAAGTATATAGATTTATAAAACAAGTGAAAAAATTATTAATAATACTATTATTATATATTTTTATTACGTCAGCTAAAAAAAGTAGTATAATCAATACAAATCAATAATAAAACATAGGTAGGTATTTACGAGAAAATGTATGATATCTTGCCTAAGCCTAATAAGTTGTCATTGAAGAATAGGTTAAATAATGTCAAAATAAAAACACTACTATTATATAATAACGTAGAATTAAAACGTATTAACAAAAATAATTGGTATATTTGCAATTTTAATTTATATTTTCTTCATTTTTAGTTCGAAAGAACCCATAGAAATTAATGATTAAAACTGGTTTCCTATCAATAAGTCACAAGATTGCATTTCAGCCATATACAATAATTAAAGGCAGAAATCTAATCATTTGCTAAACATTTAAGACTTAAGGGATGTTAAAGAATATCATAAAATAATAATTTATTGTTTATTTAAAACCTTTTCTGATATCTATTATTTCCAGTATTACTGTTATTATTACAAAAATAAAGGCTTTTTCTTCTTATTATACAGCTATCTATTCATTTTTTGATTTAATTTCTATTTTGCTACTGAAAATTGTAACATAGCAACTCCGGTTGCTTATTTTATTGTTTTTAACCTATTTTTTAGTGAAAATTAAAATGTATACGTGTATTTGATACGCCAAAATTACAAAATATCGCCCTAAAGTACTCGGATTATCCGCAGCTTGCGCTAGTATCGCTTTTGCTTTCCCTACCATGACTTCGCACTGTTCGAATAGATTGCAGCCATGTTTTAACATGCCTTACGGCCATATGCACCATTGTCCAGCTAAGTCCTCTGTTATCTAACAGTAGTATAAAAAATAACAGTGTGTTAACAGAATTTGCTATGCACCATCTATGTACCATCTATTTACCAGTTTCAGTAAAAAATCAGTCTGTTACGTATATATTACTGTTCATATCCTATAAAACCTTATATGGCACTTCAAAATAAACAAGTAAAATTAAAATAGTCTGATAAATAAAATTAACAGGCCAAATTTGGTTTGTTACATTAACAACGCCTTTAACAGATTGTTAGTCGTATTTTGTAATGGTGAATACAAAATTGTCAATTTAACAGTCAGTTATGTAGTTAACTCTCTGATAACTATTAACAGAAGAATGGTGCATATGGCAGTTAGCTAAACGTTCTTTCGATTAACTCTGTCGTTGGTGGAAGAGCCATAAATATTTTTTAAACCACTTTGTATGTCTGGATAAAATTCACAATGTTTGGATGCTATATCATTAATGGAGAGCTCATTGTGTGTAGAAAGCTCTTTCGTACTCCAGTTTGGTATTCAGCTTCAAAATTGTCGATTCCAAATTATTCCACTACTTTTATTTTCTAGGTAGTGAAAAAAGTATTGTTTTTATGCTTTTGAGATGTAACAGGCTTAAGGACAAACTAACAGAGTCTTCGGAAAAGCGTGATGTAAGCGACGTTTTAAGGGAATCCAGAAATGCAATAAATATATTCAACCTATAATATTCTTCAACTATATTAGCCTGAATATTATTATTTCTATATGAGATTGTTGTTCGTAAGGCATATCTTACGCGTTGTTGATTAAGTCGCTAAAAGCCAGGGGGGGCAACTGCCCCCCCTTGCCCCCCCCAAACGACGCCCATGGTCATCAGGACTTCACTTTTAACGGGTGGCACAAAATTGATCGAAAAACATTTGATCGAATTGGAAACTTGATCGAAAATACATTTTATCGAATGGCATTTGATCGAAAAACATTTGATCGAAGATATATTTTATCGAATAACAGTTTATCGAAAAGATAATGGATCGAAAATTTATTAGATCGAAAGGACAATATATCGAAAATCAACATTAAAAATAGTAAAATATTAAAAAAAAAATCAAACGACACCATGCAACCGTCCGTCTAATCCCTACTACCGGGAAAACCAAACTCAGTGGCTATAAAAATTAGGAAAATTTTTCGATAATTTTAAACGATAGTTACCTCGTTAAACAAATTTTATCTTTACAATACTGTTTATTTAAAAATTAATAATTTAGAGCTAAACGGTTATTTATCTTCATTGAAATTAAAGAATTGTGATAAATTCGCACTAAATATGTATTTCAACAAGGTCGAGTTGTCTCCCGATGGGACATTTTAGGTAAATTATTAATTTAATTGAATTAATTTAGCTAACCTGTGCGACCTGGAGCCGTCGCGGTTTTCTTCGCAAACAAATTACAGAAAAATAAAAAATAACTAATTTATCTAACCTGTGCAGTCTGGAGCCGTAGATGTTTGCTTCTCAAAAAAATTATACAAAAAAAAAAATACAAAAAAATAACTAAATTTCCTAACCTGTGCGGACTAGAGCAATTTAATTTTAACTGATTGTCCTCGCACAAGTTGGGTAATTTTTTTCTTAACTAACCTACCTAACCTGTGCTATTTTAAATTTAACTGATTGCTCTCGCATAAGTTAGGTAAGTTAGTTAAGTTTATTTATTATAAAAAAAATAATTAATCTACCAAATCTGTGCGGCCTGGAAGCGTCGCGGTTTGCCTTGCAAAAAATTAAAGGAAACAAAAAAATAAAAACAAAAATTTTAACTATTTTACCTAACCTGTGCGGCCTAGAGCCGTCGAGGGTTGCTTCGCAAAAAAATTATACAAAAAGGAGAAAAATTAAAAACAACTTAACTAATTTATCTAACCTGTGCGGTCTGGAGCAATTTAATTTTAACTGATTGGTCTAACACAGGTAGGTTAAGTTTTTTATAAAAAAAACTTAACTAATTTACCTAATCTGCGAGCGCTGGAGCAGACGCGGTTTGCCTCGCAAAACAAAATTATAAAAAAATGAGAAAAATAAAAAAATTTAACTTGTTTACCTAACCTGTGCTAATTAAATTTAACTTGCACAAGTTAGGTAAGTTAGTTAAGTTTTTTTTATTTTTTTCATTTTTTGTATATTTGTTTTTGCGAAGCAAGTACCCACGATTTTAGGCCGCACAGGTTAGGTAAATTAGTTAAAAATTTTGTTTTAATTTTTCTTATTTCTCTATAATTTTATGTATATTTGATTTTCGATCAATTGCCTTTTCGATCAATTTTCTTTTCGATCAATTGCCTTTTCGATCAATTTTCTTTTCGATCATTGTTCTTTTCGATTAATTGTTATTCGATAAAATGTTTTTTCGATCAAATGCATTCGATCAATTGTTTTCGATCAAATGTATTCGATCAATTTTGTGCCACCCACTTTTAACACTCTGTATTTCGGAAACAAAACATTTTTGGACCTATGTTTATATAAACTTTTACTCCTATTTTAGGATGTAGATTACGCTGTTAAAATACGACCGTCTAATTTCGGGACCACTTTATCTGTATATACAAAATTAACTAGTTAAAGTACTTATATATTAATAAAATTCTAATAAGGCATTTTCATTACCGAAATTATCTCACAAAAAAAACAAGAACAAGTAAAGAGACCTTATTCTCATGTAAAATCTCAAAATGTTCTATGAAAGAATAATTTTCAGCCAACATATGATTTGAAAAAGTAGAATTGTTTTTGTTTTTAATATAACTATTGTAATGTTTTGAAAGCATTTTTTGAAAGTACGACCCTCTTGACCAATATACAATTTTGGACAACTACCACAATTTAATTTATACAGGGTATCCCAGTAAAAACTCCCAGGCCGGATATTTTGGTAAGAAATAGAAATATTTTAATTCTGTATAAGCTAGTTCACAGGTACTAAAAGAGTTTTATATATAAATTGATTTTAAATAGGTCACTAAGTAGATGGCGCTGGGGTCAATACTTTTTTTTACATGGGAGGATCATTCTTATGTAGCGCATCTTGTAAAAAATGCTTCTTTAAGCAGATTTTGTTTTATGAACTAATTCGATAAATTTAGCCAT